AGCACAATTGATGGATTAAGATATGAATGGAGGAAACAAGAGAATTGCCGGGTCCGGGTCCGTCTACGCACAAAAGGATCTCTGCGGAGTCTGGGTTTGCGGGTACGAGTCATCGGAGAGGATCCGGATTCAGTGGAATCGCTCATAGCTGGGGGAGATTCGGTGGGAACAGAACGGTGACTAAAACGGAGAAGCTTTACAAATTTTGGGTTGATGGAAATTGCCCTTATGGTGATAAATGTAGATTCTTGCATTGTTGGAGCAAAGGGGATAGTTTCTCCTTGTTGACTTACCTAGACGGACAATTTCTTGGTGATTCCGGAGCTGGTCGTTCTTCGATTAATCCTTTTGATCTCTTGAACGACGGTGATGAAGATCCTGACTCCGATCAGGTCAGTTTGACGATTTAGAAGAAATTTGAATCGCTTTCTGTGTGTTTGAGATTTGCAATTGTCCGTATGTCTATGTTATTGTTGGAATTATGTGTTGCTTGAATCTAGGAGATAGATGTAGATGATGAGACTATATATATGATAAGAAGAAGGATGTGTTTAGAATGAAATTAGAACGTGTTTTCAGGGGATTCAAGGTATGTTCTATATCTGTTGTTTAGTTTTCACAGGATGAGTTTTAACATAATAAGGAAGGTGTTAGGATTAGTGATTGTAGGAGGGAGCTCTAATTCCAGTCATTCACCACGGGGATTTTTCTTTTCATTGATAGGAGAAGGCAAGTTCAATGGTAGCAGAAGCACTGCAGGATGGGAGGTAGGCCACCAGTCTCGCCCACATTTTTTCATCTGGAGAAACATATATGACAATAGAATTTTGCATTTGGTTCTTATTATGATGACTGTTTCGATATTCTACAATGCTAATGTTGCGTTTGCTCTTGCAAGCTTGAAGGTGTGGTTATATGTTTGCAATTTCACTTGATTCCTAGTGATTTTGTTTGGGGTTTACATGTGGTTTTGATTTGTGTTCTTTAGGTTTCAGAGGATGAAAT